TTACTAATAGCGATGCACCTGCTACTACTAGCTTCTTGCTACTAATAGCGATGGACTTGTTACCAATAACTTCTTACTCTTTCCCGCAAGACAAGCGTTCAGCGTTCCAACAGCTTTGCCTGCGTCGTCGACTCCATGCTGCCCGCGGGGCGTGTGCAGGCATTTGTTCTGCTCGGCAATAAATGCATTCCATACTAAGTGTCCGTCACATGTCCTTTTCCCTTTTCCAGCTATGCTATGACACACACATGGAGCTTTCCAACGAGATTCCCCAAAAAGATGACTTTGAGCTATGTAGAAAATTTGTAAGATGTAGGTGTGAGCTATGTAGGTTAAGAAAGGACGAGCAACGCTGTAACTTTCCTTCGTTCTTTTTTGTCTAGGTGGATCGGCCCTGAAATGCTTCTGATTACCAGCAGCATCCGACTGACCAGGAAGGGCAGGCTGCAAACAATGATTCCTTCTGCCATGTTTTAGGCTTGTGACCTACGGTAGGACCTACAGATTTCAACATGAAGAGGGGGTGAAGGAATGAAATGATGAATGCTCAGCCCTCTGCCGCAGCCTGCCCATTCTGCCGCCCATTTAGATGTAAAGATGGGAGACGGGCGACTCGCTTTCAGCGTCTTCTTCCAGTTGTGGAGCTCAGCGGACCTACGTCGTTTGAAGAGCCATCCGTTTGGATCCGTTTGGATATCCGTGAATGGTGGAACACTGCAAAAACATGGAAAGCACACCAACCACGTCCAACCACCAGATTTGGCAGCTTGCACCGATTTGTATGATGTCTATGAGATCTCTCTTGCGCTATTGTAATTGTTTTTGTTGATGGCTTTTGTTCTCTCACAGTGGAGTATTGCAGAAGCGTTCTTCCAACAACTGGGGGTGTCTCATGTTGTTTTGGGGCAGAACGGACAGAACGAACGAGCCCCCTTTTTTTCAGCAAGAATCCGTCCAGTTGGCTCTGAGCCCATCTCCTTGAGGAGTTTGGCTAGTGTGAAGCTGTCAATCGGTAGAGATGTGTAAAGAGCTTTACTCGTTCATCTCGAGAGCTTGGCCGAAGAAACATGGCACAGGTTGCGCACTGCACAGTTCGAGAGGCTGCAGACAGTTCGAGAGGCTGCAGCAGTTCGCGGCATATGCTGTCAAGATATGTTAAGATAAGTTATTTGTTGGGCTGTACTACTTGAATCGGTTTGTTTATTTCTAGCATTTCAAACGCTATTTTCGATCATGTTTGATGCGGGAGATGGTCAACACACCGCCCTTTGCAGCCTTGAGAGTTGCTGTTGCCACCTTGGCATGCGAATTTGACTCGATACGCACAGACTTTCTGGGGAGCTGATCGAGCGAAGCAACGTGACCAGAGCTGAAGGGCAAAGCTCGGATTCCAAGAGCTCAAAGAAGTGCTTTTGCACTCGATTCTCTCCAGTGTTTTTGGCAAGGCTGAGACCGGTATGCCCTGTTTTAAGCAAAATGGGGCGCTTTCCTGATAAAGGGAAGTTGCCAACATTTGCCCTGTTCTGCTTGGACAGCGCAAGTTGCAGACCTCGAGGACCGGTAACTAGTCCCAAGCGTTTTGGCATCGCTTTAGCTGAAGCATTTGATGCCAAAGCCATGCATGAATCTGGGCCACTGACCTGTGGGAAGAGGGCCAAGATGCCTAAAGACACCTGAGAATCATCCATACCTCACTTTGGCACTGTCGGTTTCAAAGCATACCTCACTTTGGCACTCGCAAGATCCTGGCATGGCCCATACTTTAGATATATGTTTCTTTGCTCAACGTCAACGTGCAAACTTCTCCTTTTGGAGAAAGGTGGGTTGCTTTTATTATTTGCACATTCGTGCATTTGCTGAAGCAAGCCTTATCCAGCATCGATTCCTCCAAAGCGAGGATTGCACCTCCCATGCATTTCAGCTGACAAGGTAGGTCTTTTTTAGATGTGGGGCCCAGCTCTTACAACGTATTCCGCGAACAAGAGTACCAGAACCTACCTTGCGGTTAGGCCATGGGGCACAGAGCCTGGAGGTGTTTTGAGGTTCATCACATTACACCCCGACGAGAGCTAAGATGAGCAAGCTGCAAGGCTTGACCTGTACAGTGAAAATAGAAGACCGTGACCGGACAAAAGAGATATATATATATATTTTCACTAACTTTCTACAGTAGTATGACCCTTTGTTGCTTGGTCGCCTTGTAATCCTTTATTGCACAATTTGTGAAGGATTTTTTCGATGCCTGTTTTCAGCGGAAAGCGCCCCTGCCCGACTGCTCTCGAGGCCAGAGATGTGCCAGGAGCTCCGGTCGAAGAGGCAACAGGCACAAAGCGCTCCGGAGAGTTCGAAAGAAGATCTGAGCAAGATTCATATCAACATCTATACATTATAGATGTATGTACAGTATTCATATTATTTGTACAATGTTGTACATATTAATACATTTATCAATGATGGTCAGGGTATAGATATCAGAAAATATGAGACAGGAACAAGAGGTTCAGTTGTGCGTCGTCTGAAGTCAATGTGCTGTTGGGGTCATCTCACTTATGTTGCATTGTCGCATCCCTGGTTTTGGGGTCGCTCTCAATGCTTTCCGCGCTGCAAAGGTGAAGTATTGTAACAGCGTCGCAGAGGAGGCCGTGACTCCGTGCCGTACGTGTTCTTCAAGTACCAAGTCAAGATCTGCTCATTTCATTGCTAATTTCTTCCACGAAATGAGGTGCCTTCTTCGGACACTTGCAAAGTTCAAGCGGCTTCGCAAAGAGTGCCTTCTTTCTTCTGACACTTTGCCGATGGGGTGCAGCCAAAGCCTGGCAGGCAAAGTGCAACATGTCGTACGATGTCCATGACGTGAACAGGCCAACAGTGCTGATGTTGTGAAACGCTCACGACGAATTTTGGATGCCACATTGTGAGTCATATTGTGGATCAAAATGGACATCAATAATAGATATGTAAGGGTATATTTTGCGAAAGCCAGCTGATAGGCATGGCTGAGTCCTCGATGGGCGAACGAAGTGAGTAATAGGGGGTGTGGGGGTGGTCGCAGGACTACCTGCTGGGTAGGGTAAACCCAGAGCCTGGTGGAGCAAAAAACAGAGGCGGTCCAGAAGGTATTGAAGATGTGTGTTTTTAGGGGTCTTGGTGATGCGAGTGATGCAAATGACTCTTAAACTCCCACAGGGACAGCGTTTGGAAACCTCAGCGCGGAAGTTCCCGACATTTGCGAGCTTCGTGTTTAGAACTAGATATTGGTATGGGGCGCCCTTTTGATCTCCCGAAAGCCAGAAATGCAACAAACAAGGGCACCCCACAGAAGCAGATGTGAAGACACGACGTGTGTGAGGGGTCCATGTCCGCTCCGCGCAGCAGCTAACCGGGTGTATATCTATGTCTGATGACCGCTAGCACAAATTGAAGCCAGCAGAAATTGAAGCCGATGCTATATTGACCGAGCAGTTGAGGAACAAGGGCACCTCACTCTGAGGTGAGATGACCAGGTGTGTGAGTCCAAGTAGAGGGCAGGAGAGGGAGACTGAATGCAGGCAGGAACCCCTGAGTTGCTTGGGGGTGCCCTTTTTAGGGTGAAAAGGGTTCTAAAACTGTAAATGTCCACGGCTTGGATCCTGTGACCAATAACAGTGGATGGGGCTTAGTAAAGGCCTTGTGTATATACGCTCTATCATATCGAGCCTCAATGTGAGCCTTCTGTCTTCCCGTGGCTTAAAAACGTAAGAAGTAAGTGCAGCTTCGACTTCAACCGGTAACACTAATAAATATATATTGCTGACTTCTCAATCCCTACAGGGGCTGGCTTTCGTCCCCCTTTCTCAGGTATATAATTGCTCAAACGGGTCTTGTATGCAAACCCATGCAACGCTTTAGTCCTGAGTTTGTGAGGTGCAGTGCAGTCAGGTCATGTAAGAAGAACCCAATTGTTTGAGCACAGAGACATTTAAACTTGGCTGCCGCAAATTCAATATTTCCTGAAGCAGCTTTCAGTGACAGGTTCAGTGTGGCACCATGTGCTTGGCATCAGTCTCAGCCTCCAGCGCGATTACTAAGATCAATGAAACGCCTGATGAGTGTCAACATTTGTGTCCTGACCGAGGAGTTCTGAACTGAAGCTCTGTTTGATGGACAGCACCTCCGTGTGTCTTGGTCAGGGAGTGGAGGATGAACCCTATAGACTCTCTAGAAGAATCCGCAGACGGGACTCCTAGATGCAGGACGCACAAGATGTGGAGAACCTGATGCCATTTCATATTTTGGAATCGTGCTTGCAAGTCATAGCTTGCGGTAGCAGACCTCGGAAATCTCAAGAAAAAACTGGCAAAACTTCAACACATTGATGGTAAGAGCCAGTCTCAGGTTGACGGACTGCGGACCGTTGTGAGGTGTAGAGTACTCGATGTTGAGCTCGTTCGGCAGTCGGGCAACATTTTGAGCCTACGACGAAAGCGAGATCACGTCCTATCAAGTGCACCACACGTTATTTTTCCGCAGTGTTGTTGTCTAACTAACTCTTGTGAAGCCATTGATTTCGTGCAGTTCTCTTGAAGCCCGAGCTTGAGCCTGCGCGTTTCCATCCGGGCCGTTCTTCATTTCGTCTCACCCTTCAGTTGGCAACGAAACGAGAGAACCGTTGTCGCCCAAAAACACACCTGTGCTCAAAGTGGCTGTGAGCGTGATCGTTGTCGCATATGCGAGCGTGATCGTTGTCGTGAGAGTCTTTTAGGCAAGTATTCAAAACAAGTACTGTACATCAATACATCATAGATCATTCAGACTTGATGCTTGCAGATACTGAAAACAACATGTTCATCATGTTGCCAAGAATTGTAGTGTGCGGAGATTACATCCTTTTCTCGGTATTGTGGGACTGTCTGAAACAGAAGTGTGCCCCTCTCAGATTGGTGCCTGCGCATGTCCTCGCCTGGATCTCAGCTGTGCGGAGACAAGAGGACGGAGGCCTTCAAGGATGACGTGCTTTGGCAAAAAACATTCTGCGACGAATCAGACGAGCCACCACCACGCGTTATGTCCATAACAAAAGGCCCGCCCTTGGGAAGATGAGGCTACTGTTCCGTAGGGGATCCAGAATAGATTGTGTCGAGAATTAATTGTAATCGATGAAAAGGGGAGGTGAAAGTGCGAGCCAAATGAATAGTGCGTGACCAATCCTGCGTCCAGTAGCTAGTAGCGACCCACTATATAATTAAGCAGCTGCTGGCCAGACAAGAAGCCTTGCCAAACCATGCCAAACCTGGCACAACCAACCTTCTACCAGCGGTCGCATGGCAGAGCGCTGGTAGGTGCCCAATATCTCTACAGCCTTCTCGAGGCGGGATGGTTCTGGAAAGATGAACCAACAAGAACCAACCTCTCTAAAAGCTGGAGAATCCGTGGTTTGCTGGCAGGTGGGTGGCATCTTGGTTGGCTGGGGCCCTGCTTTGCTTGAAGAGGGTGGACAAAACCTGTAATGCAAACTTAGGTCCATTCCAATGCAACCAAATTGCGATGGCCTCCAACCTACTAGCGATGGGCTCCAACCTAGTGGCGATGGCCTCCAACCTAATAGCAAAAACCTCCACACTTAGGTCCATTCCAATCTGGCCATTCCCAACGGTGTGGAGCCTGGAGCAGTCGAAGCAACGCCTTGGATTCAGCTGGTTGCGCATCTCACCGCAGGTTGCGCCGTGTGGTCCGGGAATCAGAGGTGCCGCACAGTGTGGCCGAGGAGAGTCAGTTGAGGAGAATTTCTCAACCCAATGTGATGATCATAGCTTGGATCATCTTGGATCCCTCTTTTAGGATCATGTACTGTCAGGTTGATGTGACAGTTTTCGTAGTTGTGCCGGCTTCATGTTTTGTGTGCATTGGCCAGACACATTTCAAGATTGAGATCCTGAACTCAGTGCACTTCGCAACCCTCGTCGAGCCACTTGAAGCCATTCATTTCGAGGGTTGACAATTCATATCAATTCATTTGATGCACACGGCTGATAGCATCCTTGCGTTTTAATGCAGACATATGAGTACCCGACAGAATTACTGTGAATCAGCAGTAGTCTTCGGCTGGGCATTGTTCTTTTTTTAAAAATTGATTTGACTGCAAAACCGATAGGGCCCCACCCAAAACCGATACCCTCTAACATGGGTGATGGCCTACCAAAAACCGATACCCCAAAGAGTTGTAGGTATAAGAAAACCTGAGACCGATAGGGTACCACCAAAATACATGTAAAGAAATGCCAAAACCTGAAAACCGATAGGGGCCCACCCAAATGAATACGTCCTTTGCGGGTAATAAGTAATATTGTCCGACACTCATATACAGAGCAGAATGTTCTCCTGCCAAACATACACGTCAACTGAAAGGCACCTTGATGTGCCGAGTGGATTCATGCGGGCCGGGTGGGAGCCTGTGGGGTTCCTTTGAAACGCAGCACCTGCATCACTGCTTACTTTGGGGTGGTGTGCCTAGTTGCGGATGTGATGCAGAACTAATTATATAGATAGATAAAGAGGTAGCCAACAAGAGCTTTCGGGTATCAAGTTACCATTTAGACACAAAGATCCGGAACGGATCCCCACTCTGAAGACATCTTTACTTTGAGGGCTCCAGGTGTCGGATGGGTGTCCTCCATTTTTCAGGCCCGCCAGCTCTGCAGATGGAGGCCGAGAAGACGGGCAACATGACAGGAGAAACGGGCTTCATGCTCTGGGGGGTGAAGATCTCGTTCTTTCTTTTAGCTGCGCAACCTGCGCTGCGGCAACATGTGATCGTGCAAAGCCTTTGGCGCATGTGATCTTTCTATTTTGACAATGGCAAGGGAAAGAAACAGAAGAAAAGGCACGGCGGTTCATGCGCTTTTTCTTCAACGATCTAGCAGCCTAGCAGCCTGTTGGTGTGGATTCGACGGGAAGACACGACGGTGCGCACGTGATCGGCGTGCTGTGCGCAGAGATCTCGGGGTCGGTCAGGTGAGCTCGAGGTGGTGACCCCAGGAAAACTTTCATGCCTTTTGCATGGCCACAGGCAAAATGAGACGCAAAGAGGCGTTTGAAGTGTATATGCATTAATTGGCATTAATTATATAAGTTATATATGTGAAGATTATTGCCGTACCGTACTTGTGAGGTCAACTTCAGGTTTCAAAGCAGAATCGGCAAATCTCTGGGACGGCTTCTTTGGTTTCTTGAATGAGAAGAATCAATCCTTGAATATTCCGAACAAAAGGACAAGCAGGGACTTGCAGTCGAAGCTGAACCACCTAAGACTTTAAGAGCCGTCGAAGAACAAAATACACCAAAACCCTTTGCCAGACATTGCGCCAAAAAGAGGCCGCAAAAAGATCGCGGTTGGAACATGTTCTCAACGAAATGCCAGAACCAACTGCACCAAAAACCTCCGGCCCCAGCCCTAGGCACCCAGCTCACCGGTACCACCTCCAGGGACACCGGTGGGAGCCTGGGTTTTCTCAAACGTGGCGGACGACTGAAGCGGGAGTGACCGAAGGGCGGGAACAAACAGATTCGCATGCACGCAACAAAGTTACTTGCTGTAAGTAACTGGCTCTATTTAGGTTGGAGGCCATCGATATTAGGTTAGAGGCCAGCGCTACTAGGTGATCTAACCTGGCTTAGGCGAAGTCCTATGTTTTTTCCACAGTACCTAAAGGTGTGTGGGTTTGGGATGTCCCGATGTCCAGCTTGTCAACTGAGGTGGTGGGCTTGCCCGGTGTGTTTGGATGCTGAGGGCGCTGAAAGTCGTGTCGTATTGCCACCGGAGACACACCCTAGAAACCTTATAGTTCTGTTGACTTTTGGTGGCTTCGGTTGACTTTTGGTGGCTTGTGTTGGCTTTTGGTTTCTGTTGGCTTTTGGTGGCTTCTGTCGGTGGCTTCAGTTGCTTTTGATGGCTTGTGTTGGCTTTTGGCTTTTGTATGCTTTTGGCGGTTTCTGTTGACTTTTGATGGCTTGTGTTGGGTTGGCTGGGGCTTTTTCACTGTTGCACGGAACGTGATATACCCAAGATATATCAAGATATGATAGTTATTCTCTTGTATTGTATCTGGTCACTACCACCTACCGACTAAAGAATCCAAGAGTTAGCAACGATCGTGCTTGCATTGGTTGTGGCTTTGGCCAATCCCGGCTGACCATTAGGAATATAGGAATGTGAAGTCCCAGGCACAGCTGCCAGATGTAAGAAGGTATTGGTTTTATCGAGATGTTTTGCATGTAATGTAGCTCGGAATATTCATGTGAGGACTTGAAGGTCTTTTCATTAGGAATAACGCTTAACTGGGTTCCTACGATAGAGTGAGTGGATGACTGGCCACATCTGTAAGATAGCCAGTCACGCTTTGAAAGGGAACAGTAGGTGCCTTTTGTTTTTGCACTTCTTCACAAGAGCATTGTGGACCTTCCCTTTCCTTGTGCCTTTTCCTTTCCCTTTCCTTTTCCATGTCCCTTTCCTTTTCCTTGCCCTTCGCTTGTCCTTTTTCTTTTTCCGTTTCCTTTCCCTTTTCCTTTTCCCTTTTCCTTTAAAGGCAGCAGCCAAGAGCAAGAAAAATAATACATAATGCAAGAGTTTAAACAATCAAATTATAATATACTAAAATCCGAACCCCATTCTATCCTATGACCCACTTGCCTGTCTGCAAAGGCCATTTGCCTTTGCCCTGCGACAGAAGCCATGGACCATTGCCAGGAATTGGGCTTATCCCCCAAGCTTCAGGCTGCAGCGGCGACCGGGAAGATGTTTTCGACATAAAACTCTACTACATGCTTCCAACGAAGACTGTCATTGTTGAAAGCAACAGCGACTTGGGTGTTGCCCAGACAGGAGACTAATCTCAGGAATGTTGCGAGGAACGTGTCGTACAACATCCTTTGGTGGTTGACTCGACGATGATTTTCTATTTTTGGAGCTCTGGCCATCCAAATATCCGCTCAAAGCTTGTGCCAGGCGCATTACAGCCATTTTATTGCGAAGCAAAGCCAGTCCGGCGCCCTGAGAAGTTCACTCAGGAAATGGATCATGCTGCATCAAGCAAAAGATGCAAAAGTGAAGAGTGCTTGATGGATAGATGAAACCGGAGCCTCATGAGTGGCATGAGGGCAAATCCTTCAACCGATGCATGGGCACAAAAAACAAGAACTTCTTCCTAAGCTGACCCTGCGCCGACACAGGCACAGGTTTGCCACTGGAACTTTGGATCGAACATATTTTGCCATGGTGGGGATCCCAAGCTTCACAAGTTCTGATCGATGGTATCCTTGGAGCATGGGTCTCTACAAATCCCCCTTTGAGTCCTAAGCTTCTTCGTTCATGCTGACTCTGGTAATTTCATTCTGGTGGACATTGATTCTGTCCCCTCGCCTTCAGGTGTCCGCGCTGGTGGTGCGGTGCTTGACTTTCCAGTTTGGTAGGAGTCGATGGGGCTGCCTTAGGAACGATATAGGAA